TGGCTAAGTGGCGCGTGAATGATGCGGATGGAGGTAAGGCTCAGGCATGTGGAGCAGCCTCTTAATAATCGTGCTTTTCCCCTCCGTCAGTCCCGGGAGGAGAGCAAGAAGCAGGCCCTGGCCGCCAAGAGGGAGAAGCGCAAAGAGAAGCGCAAGAAGAAGAAGGAGGAGCAGAAGAGGAAGCAGGAGGAGGAGGAAGCTAAAACGAAGGAGGTTTCGGAAATGCAAGATACCGAAAAGGATTCTGCTGAAGGCAAGGACAGCTGGGGGTTTTATCTGACCTGTGCTGGAACAGAGGATCAGGAACCCTCAGAGTAGATTTAACTTTAGAGGCAAACCACACCAGCCAGTTCATATGAAAGTTTTTTGTATGACGTTAACTGCTGGTTATATGACTTGAGTTACTGTTTTGTTGAGATATTGGGTTCACATTTCTCATGGGGACTAAAGCAAGACTGATTTCTGTCCACATTGTGCTACTTGGGTTGCATGCTTTATCATGTATCTATTGACTTCCTGTATTTTGTAGAACCTGAAGTTCCCATAGAGCCTCCAAGCGCAACCACCACCACCACCATTGGGATTTCGGCCACCTCCGCCACCTTCACCAGCGCCTTCGGCAAGAAGAGAGCCGGCGTGGTGACGACGCCGAGCACCAACCGCAAGAACAAGAAGAACAAGACCCGGGACACCTCCCAGAACGCTCAGATCATCCTCCAGGACCCGCAGATGTCGCTAGCGCAGCAGAAAGCGGACAAAAACAAAATCCAGGGGGAGCCGAGAGGCGGCGGGGCTGGAGGTAACAGCGACTCCGACAACCTGGACAGCACGGACTGCAACAGCGAGAGCAGCAGCGGCAGCAAGAGCCAGGAGCTCAACTACCTGCCCGACCTGCCCTCCGCCGCCGCCGACAAGAGGCAGTGCCCCGCGCAGCACGCCCTGCAGAGAGAGGACAAGGTCACCGTCTCCATCTCCAAGTCGCAGCCAAAGTGAGCACTGCGCTCTCCTGCTCTGTGGTCCGGGGGGGCGGGGGGGTCACTCACGTCCAGCATTTTGTAATTAAAGAACGGAGGGCTGGGTGGGGTCGAGATGGGTTTGTTTTCCTTTTAAGTTTGATTTTGCTTTCTTTATTTAGTTTTAGGTTGCAGGCTGCCCTGGTAGACAGTCACTGTTTATCCCATATTGTAGTCGCAGTCCGGGCTTAGATTGTGATGTGAAAAATCTTTGCATATACATTGGAAGTTTTAGATTAAAATGCCAGTGAAGGTTACATTTTTTCTAAAAATCCGGCTAATTTTTTTTGTGGGGAAAAGAGTATTAACTGCTCCATCTGATGCACCAGAATGATGTGGCTATATAGTTGAAGCAGATGTTTGCTTTGCGTTTAGAGCACGGCTTTAACATTTCATAGAATGTTTGCGGAAGGCTGTTGACTTGGATCATCTTGGAAATAAACACAGGTGACGCTCTCTTTAGTAGTATAATCTTTCTCATGCTCCTCAGAATGCAAGAAGGCATCAATGACGTGACTCCCAGTTCACTACCTTCTACATTAAAGACTATTTCACTGCCAGTATCCTCGCCCAATGGTAAAATGAACCTGACCAGCCCCAAAAGAGGCCCAAAGAGAGAAGAGGGCTGGAAGGAAGTTGTCAGGAGGTTTGTCATTTCATTTCCACTTATTTCAAGTCTGTTTCTTGCAGCTCTGTTATAGTGCAGTGACATGCCAGGACAAGATTATAAGGTTCTTCGGGATGGTTCCAAGAGACATTGCTTACTCTGTTTCTCTGCATGATGTCTAACCCTTTCTCTTGGCTTGAATGTCTTTCAAGATGAGTTTTTTTTGTCCGGAATCATATTGTTCCAGATGTATTTGTGTATATGCAGCAAAAGTCAATATTCTGTAAGCCTTTTGAACCTGCTGATATGAGACTGATATGTAATTTATCCGCATTTAATGTGATGGGCTTTGCTTTTAAACGGAAGTCTTCCAGTTTCTCCTTTTTTAACATATGGGTGGTAGAGCTAAGAAAGAGACTAGGTTTTCGGGTTTGAGTCTGTAGAAACCACACCCTGTACTTCCAGAGAGAGGTACAGAGTGTCTGGGGGTGCTGACCTGCCCATGTGCTCTGTCCCCTAGATCTAAGAAGTTGTCGGTTCCTGCCTCAGTTGTGTCCAGGATCATGGGGAGAGGCGGATGTAACATCACTGCCATTCAGGACGTCACTGGAGCCCACATAGACGTGGACAAGCAGAAGGACAAGAATGGCGAGAGAATGATCACCATCAGGTAAGCGGCTCCACCTGCCTGAATATGTTTTACTGTTCCTGTGTTCCAGGAGTGGAATCAGTGCATCTACGTCCACGAAGTCAATTTCGTATTTGTTGCACCGTTACGTGCTGGTGTTAAAAAGACTAAGACGGGTGCTAAGGGAATCCAGGCCTGGAAATGAAACGATACGAATTTTAATGTTTCAGAGGAGGAACCGAGTCCACGAGGCACGCTGTGCAGCTCATCAACGCCCTGATTCAAGACCCTGCCAAGGAGCTGGAGGACCTGATTCCCCGGAATCACATCCGCACGCCTGCTGCCAACACCAAGATCGGCTCCACCTTCACCACCTCCACCGGCGCCACCAGCACCACTGCCGCTGGCAACAAGGCCCTGGTGTCGGTGGTGCCTTCCTCCTCCGTGGCGTTCCAGCCTTCCTCGCCCTCCACGTCACAGCCTGGCAGCAAGCTCGCCAAGAACCTCTCGGCCACCGTTCGCCCGCCTTTCCCGGTCTCTCTCCCCCTGGCCTACGCCCATCCTCAGCTGGCCCTGCTGGCCGCGCAGACTATGCACCAAATCAGACACCCCCGCCTGCCCATGGCCCAGTTCGGCGGCACCTTCTCCCCTTCCCCGAACACGTGGGGCCCCTTCCCCGTGCGGCCCGTGAGTCCTGGGAGCACCAACAGCTCCCCCAAACACAACGGCAGCGGTGCCATCCGCCCCGGAACCTCCCACGTGGAGTACGCTGGCAGTGCGCTGCCCCCCTCCGTCACCGCCTCCCCTCCCTCCAGCACCTCGCAGCCCCCCGCCTGCCTCACCAACAGCCCCACCCCCTCCTCGGTCCGGAAGCAGCTGTTCAGCGCCGACCCCAAGACCAGCAGCGCGACCTCCGTCACCGCCACCGTCACGAGCGTCTGCAGCACGCGGCCGGCCAGCTCCCCCGCCCCTCTGCACAGC